TTACAAAGTATGTATACATAAATTTGCATTTAAAATAGCAAATTTTTCTGTACCTGGTCATTTCCATTTGAACTGAGGGTTTTTCTGGCTGAGGGGGCTGAACTCCCATCTTCACGCCCCTGCCTCTGTTCTCTGCCGGATTGGATCCGAAAATATATGTATAAGTAAGTAAAAGTAAGCCATATGTACATGAATTGCAGTTTAATACAAAACCTCATATCTTGATTGGTGTCATCTGCTCCCCGGTGTCTCTCAGAAGAGGTTACTAAGTTTAATAATCGCCTTGCTGACTCAACGATATCTTCCTGACTAACATTACCCTGTAATCACAAATACAGCACAGAAAAAAAACGTAGGAAGGATATTACAAATCAGTAGTACAAGTATAATATACATGATTTTAAGATAATCAAACATGCAATATCCTTTGTACTAAGTTTGGCTACAGCAGCAGAATCATATCCAGCATGAGCTTAGTGGCCAGGGCATTCTTCTGACAATTGATCCATGCTGTAGGTGGTACGGGACAAGCTTATCCAGGATATAGATATAATATATAGAGTTCTCATAACCATAAGAGGTCATTAATTAGTTACACAAGAGCTAAAGGAAATTTATGAGCTAACTCCTAAAATCAGTCTAAGAGAATAAGAACTGGTGACAAGCATTGAAATGTTTCTACAGTGAGACTTGAGGTCAGAGATAAGAGATGCACAGGCATTCTTTAAAACAAAGACAAGAGAGGACTAAACAAATCTTTGTTGAAACAACAAAGGGTTTTGAGAAACTGACGTGTCACTGAACCGTGGGCAGATGTGGAGGGTTGCTGTATGAATGTGGGGGAAACAGTGGGGGCCAACATGGAAGCCAAAAAAGTTATTTCTTGTCACGGTGTGGTTCACTTCCTTCCCACCTTCCCATGAGGGGGGGGTTTAGCCGCCGACTGCGGAGGTGTTCTGTGTGACCGAGCTGACGACAACTGCGGCGGTGTTCCGTGTCCCCGAGCTGCCGCCGACTACCCCGGAGGTTTCCCGTGTCACCGAGCTGCCGCCGACTACCCCTGAAGTTTCCCGTGTCCCCGAGCTGCCGCCGACGACCCCGGAGGTTTCCCGTGTCTCAGAGCCTGCCATTCCAGAGACGTTCCGTGCCCTGCAGTCGCCGCTCCGGAGCCGGCCAAATGACCGTCCGCCGGGCCGACCCCCAGAGGCTCCCCGGTCGCCTGGCCCGCCCGCCGGCCCGCCCGCCGGGCCGCCCGCCAGAGTTTCCCGGGTGGTCCGACCAACGTCTCGGGTTTCCCTCCCCCCCACCCCTTGTTCGCTCTAGTGTAAGCTGTCTGAAATTCGGCCCTTAAGGGGGGGGGGGTACTGTCACGGTGTGGTTCACTTCCTGTTGTATTTTGTAGTTTTCTGCCACTCGTGTCCCCGGGTAACTTCACTTCCTGCCTTGTCCCGTCATCCCCTGTGATCGTCTGATCCATTTCAGGAATCAGGAATCAGGAATCAGGAAACATTTATTTGCCAAAATATGCTAAACATACAAGAAATTTGTCGTGGCGGTTAGTGCGCGACAGTAGACAGACAAGACAACAGTGCACAAGTAATAAAATAAGGTCAAATTAAATGCTAATGCAATTTACAATTTACAACATGGTACGTGAGCACCGATGTATTGAACTGGATGCAGGCAGCTACTGGTAGCCAGTGAAGAGGAGCGGAGGAGTGGAGTAGTGTGGGAGAATTTTGGAAGGTTAAAGAGCAGTCGAGCAGCTGCATTCTGGTTGAGCTGCAGAGGTCGAATGGCGGTGGCAGGGAGACCTGCACCGCACTGTGCGAAGCCATGCTCTCACCATCCCGCAGATGGTTGTATGGCACTGCGCTTTTTTGCAAGCGGCATGGGTTTATATGATGTGGGAGATGCCGAAAGGCACTATTTGCCGTACTGTCAGAAGTGTGTGTTTGGCACTGAATTCCTTAGCACAGATCTGTATTACCTTCCCTGGACACAGAAGAATGTGTTACTGTAAAAATACGTGTTCAAGATTTGGAGCCTGGTCGGGGTTTATCAAAAATTCAGCCGAACGACAGCCCTTTTGGCTGGTAAATCTGCTAGTTGACCCGCAGACCTTGCATTCCTCAGCCTTGACATAAACTGACTCCCCATCCTGTCAGACTCGTATCTGCCTGCTCCTTACCTAACTCTTAAATCAAGACAAGACAACAAACCCCCAACTAAGCCCATGAAAAGAACTTTTGATTATCAATTCCCCCTTTTTACATAATTCATTATGTAAAGCAAAAAAAATAAAAAAAAAACACTAATCTAAATGCTAAAAATCTATATCAGTGAATACGGGTGAATGCAGCAGTCATGGAAATCCCTAAACAGTACAAAAAATCAACACCACATCTAAGCTGAGTATAATAGACATCCTAGCCTAAAAATATCACACCATCTACGTGTATGCATCCACTATATATGATGGGTGCAACAGTTAGCAGATCACGCGGACAGGAATGTTGAACCTAAAAGGATTTCTTCTTCAGGTCCCTTGAAGTCGGTTCTTACCATACCTATCTCCTCTCCAATCTCCTCCGGCCCTAACAATTGGATCCTCTCATGTAACAAAGGGGTATTTTAGCATCTATTGCAGAGGTGATGCATCGGAGACATAGTTGTTTGATACAGGGGATGCAGCAGCATCCACAAAGGGCAAAAACCACTATTGCAATTACTAAGGTCAGAAAAACTGACAGGAAGAAGCCCTTCCATTGTCCAAAGTATTTAGCAAACCAATTACCAACGGTGCCGTCTATACCAGAGTGGTCAGCTAATTCAATAGACATGGCTCTTAGTCTGTGTAATGCTCTAGTAAAGGATCCATCTGGGGCGGTGTTATTGGGGATAAAAGTGCAGCACGCTTGGCCAAACATCGCACACACTCCTCCTTTTTCAGCTAATAACATATCCAAAGCCATCCGGTTCTGGTAAGTCATCAATGAGGTGGCCGATAGTTGGCTGTGCACCCCATTAGCATCTCTCGTCATATTGGTGAGCCGCTGGATATTGAAATGTACATAATTTAGTCGATCCACATTTTTGTTTACAGTTACAAAAGGGAACAATGATTCCCATCCGGCCGCTATCTGATCCGTTAACTTGTATTGATCAGGTACCCCTCTCGGCACCCCAATAGCATCGAAATAAACAGGGGATCCTTCTGTTAGGCTAAATCCTCTTTTACTGCGACTGAATGAATTACACCTTTTTGCCTCGTTACTCAATGTTTCAGCGGTTATTGGAACTATTTTAAGCGGAACGATGAGGGAAACTGAGGTGCATTTCCCCTGCCACTCAGCTGACACTACATTAAGTAATCTCCTACCGCCGCAGTACCAGTAGATATCAGAGCGGGCCTGGGTCAATTTGGTCATATTTGTCCAGGTGGTAACATCAATTGTCACATTGCACCATGAATCAGCTAAGGAACCTACGTTCAGTCCCCCTTTAAGATGCTTAGTGAAACAGGTATAATCGCCACTTATGGGAGTGAACATGGGAGGAATTGCTTGTGGTTGTGATCCTGGAAGAATAGTTACCCACGACTTGCAACCTTCACTTGGATTCTCTTTAGTATGTAATTCTATCAGGGCCTGGCTAAGGACCGAGGGCACTGTCCATAGGCTGGCTCTTGCACCTGCACAGGCCACACAGTCAGCGGAGTCCATTTGCTGGGACGCAGTTGTGATCCAATTACTTAATTTGTCCTCTTTTAACCCCACTTTCACACAGTGCGTGGTTACTTCTGCAACTTTGTATGGACCTTCCCAGCAGGGATCAGTCCAACTGAATCTGGCTACTTTCCGTAGTACCCAGTCGTCCACCTCCACTGGTGCACACTCTCCTTCTTCTTCTCCAGAAAGGATCTCTGTCACCTGTTGAGAGATACTCATCACAGTATTATTACAAAAAGCCGCTAACAGTGGTAGTTGATGAGAGGCCGGAGCATCCCGTCTGATTTTTGACTTAGGTTTCAAATCATTACATTGATGCACATTCGCTCTGGCTGCATTCCTCTGATAATATCGGTTCCTATTACCTCTTAACCCCCCCTGTCTCATGGCGCTCCATCGGAGTAGATGACTTTGGTTTTTGTGACTCTAGCACTGCTCCATGCTCCTGAAATTCCTCGTCCCAATCATCTGCAGGGCCAGGCTCATCTTCCTCTGACTCAACCTGCCTCCCCCGCTCATCCTGTCCACGCCGGGTGATTGATTGCCGCTCTGCCTGGGCTATAACTTCTAACAAAATTTCTTCTCCTGCAACTCTTCCTCCCCCTACATTAAATGAGGTCATAGGTCTGTGCTCGGGTTGCCGCTTCTTTACGACTGTCGAGTGACCCTGTGGTGTGTTAGGATTACTCCAATCGACAGGCTCCAGCTGGGGCCTGTCCTCCAAATATTGTACCGTCTCTGAGAGAAAAGCAGAAACCTTATCCACCCCATCATTCTCTTCATGTGGGTATGGGGTTACCTGTAACAACCCTTTTTGAACTACCAAAACCTGAGATTCTCCTGGATTAGTAGCTTTCCCTTGCCTCAGTGGCATCTGATGTGGTTCATTTAACAACCGATTAGCCTCCGCATATGGGCCTGTCGAGTAGGGAGGAGGCGCACTAGATTTACAACCGGTCTCTTGCACTTTCTCTTCTCCTGCTTTGGTTTGCGGCAACTGCATTGCCGTCTTACTCACGAATACCGCATTTATTTCTCCCAGAAATGTTCTACAGTCCACTAAGAACTCATCTGCCTTTTCTGCACTTTTCTTCTCTTTTCCACAAAAACTCCCTTTAACGGCAAGGAGCGCATGCGCTTGGTCTTTTCCTCTTGTCGCCATCCTAAGATTCCGGGGAAATTCAAAGTGATTTTCAAATAGATTATATATTTCGTACAAAAGTTGCATTTCATGCGCCGGCCTGTGTTCCGCAGTGGCGGTAATGAGCCCGCGAGGCTGCTTCCGCGTCTCACAATAAATCCAACGAAGAAGAATCATTTGTAGAAGAAGAAGACGAAGAAGAAAACATGCACGCTTGCTGGTGCCGCTGATGCTGTTTACTGAAGGAAACGGTGAGTAACCTTAACTGTTCATATCCGCAATGTGGTGCTTTACTAAAAACGATGGTGTGGGAAGTAGAAAGCATGTTTTACTGTCACAGCGGATCTAAATAAACGGCGAACAACTGCATGGTTATCAGAGTTGTCTGAGCAATTAGCAACGTGCTCTAACTGACGTTAACGTTAAGTCAACTAACTACACAGAAAAAAGTAATGCGACGTTTTCATGTCAAATATGTCTTTACATTGTGGGCCCACCTCACTGGGTGCTTTGTAGACATATATGTGTCGCACTTGATGAAACTGTCAACTTTGGCTGTAGCAGCAGTTCGAGCTTTAACGTTCGCCGAGGAAACCGTTTTAAGTTGGAAACCTGTAGCGATGTGAAGCTTTTCGTTACTTGGAACACATTCATCTTGCATCAAAAGAATGAAACGCACCCCTTGAAGGGTGACGTTAGCAATACATACAAAATCCCTAAAGCGTGTCGTTTAACATGTATTTTATTGTAGTATTAACATCAAACCGTTTTAAGTTATTAAGAAATAACGTTATAAAACAAAAATACATCGTCAAATGATGGATTCATTCTGTGAGCATCAGCCTCTTTTGAGATTGTACTCTCATTTTAACTAATCACAGCGTGTTAATCGTTTGACATTCATTTAATCTAATCATGGAAATACAAAATCTTTATTTTTAGCTCAATAATAGTCGTGGTCTGAGTTGTCTATGTAGATAATAGATGTCTGTCAAAAATGTACATTGCATTTCTAAAGTAAACATTATGCATAGGTAGTATTTGATTATTGAATTTTTTTCATTTGACACTGGCAGAAAGACTCAACATGACAACACCGGTTTCCGTGCTCCGCCTGCCAAAAGGACCTGACCCCAACAGCCGAGGATTTGACCCCAAGTCTCCCCGTTTCATCGCTCTCTGCCGAACCTCCATTGCCACCTCTCCCGCTTCCGAAGCAGATGCTGAGCAGCTGCCAAGAGAGCAGCACGCCCGATCCGTACTGAGAGAAAGTTTCCTCCGATGTCTCCTGTCCATGGCCAACAAGAAGATTCAGTTTCACATGTACGAGCGGGTGACGGTGGAGGCCACCTTCAGAGCATCTGACATCGACGTGTTGAACTTTCAGGTGTCGGACCTGCACACTCCCATCGGGGTGCAAAAGGAGGCTCTGATCCGCTGTCAGGATGTGATTTTATTCACTTTTGATGCATGAACACTGAAGGCGCTTTTTCCTGTCCAAATGAAATATGAATTTCTCGTTTGTCGTTGCAAGCGAGCTCTGTTTTCACAATGTGAGATAGTTTTGTTTTTCAAAGCAAAGCTATTTTCATATGGTTTTCTCAGTCTGTCCACTTCACTCATTCATGCTGCTGTGTGCGTTAGAAGTTAACTAGTTGACAAGCAGTCCCACCTTTTTAGCACAAGAGGGAGTCCTATGCCTGTGTTTCAGGAGCTGGGAAAGACCTTCTTGGGAATTATTTACTTTCTGTAGATAGTGAACACTGCTAGAAATAAGTTATTACTGTACGGGTGATAGAGTGTAATGTTGTCTTTTTGTCATTATATTCTCTGACTGAGGCAAATTAAACTTAACGCTTACGTGTCTTTTGAGTAAAACACTTTTCTGTTAAGGTTTTCTTTTGTTGTTTGGGAAAAAAATTGTGTCTGACAAACCTTGATGATGTTTAAGATAAGTTTTAACTGATCTATATAAACATCAAACTATCATTTTCTAGAGTTTCAAGTTTTCCTATATGCACTGCATGGGGATGGTTTTCCACAATGTGAATAGAGTTTAGTTTGTCTCATCAACATTAGCACCACTGTTGAATCTTTATTTGCTCAAGGTAACCGGTTTGAATTCATAGCTGCAACTGTCAGTAATAACGTGTGTGCCACCCAGTTCATGAAAATGGAAAATATACCATTTATTATTTGCATCTACACTGCTGTATCAAGACATTTTGCATCCGAAATTATTCCTTAGTTATTTTGTGGATGTTTTGTGTCTCTTTGGGGTTGTTTTAGCGGTGTACAGTGTGGCATTGAGCTACACAAGTGTTCAGGCCCAGTGTCTCCAAGACCCCACGTGCCCCAGAGTCTGCGTTGAATATGAAATATATATTATATAATAATATATAATATAAAAAGTTATTTCTCCTCTTACTAGATGAATAAGCTACAAATTATATTTGTTTTTCTGAAACATTTACAGAGTGGAAAATTAACCCAAATCAAGATAAAATGCCTTCCAATATACTGAAGTTCTGCTTGGATAAGGTGCATTCAGATTATTGTTCCTGAATGTTTCAGTAATTGAACATAAACTGAGTACACGTCTGATGGCAGCACTGGTATTCATTATAGTCACTTATTTACAGTCATGGTCATAAATAATACAGAAAAGCATGCTTCTTCATTGTTTAGCACCAGCGTCCTGGGGAGGAGAAGCAGGCATCAATACTATTTAATCTTACTAAAAGGTGAATTTTGCGAGATCCCTATAAGTCATTTTATGTGAGTGCTGTTAGGCGGGAGTGCTGTGCCCGAGTCTTGTACCTGAATTATCTGACCACTCAGTGGAGACGGTCATCAATGAGGCAGTGACTCATCCTATCTCTCTCTCTCTCTCTCTCTCTCTCCCCCCTCCCCCTTTATCGTCCTCCCTAATCCAAAATATGACGTCATGGAACCCGTGTGATTCAATCAGGAAGCCCTCAAGGACAAGCAATGTTAATTTCATATACACCAGCCGGCTCCTTCAGTTCTCACTCTCACCTCTGTGATGAGTGTCAGCACATACTGGACATAAATGTATGCATTTCAGTTACCGATTATTGTTGTACAGTGGACATTTTGCAGACCAAATCTCTGGTCAACTTAAAACCCAACCAAAAATAAACTGCCCAACATATATAAAGTAGTTGAAATTAGTTCCACTTAAAGCAGCTACACTATTAAGGCCTTTGCAGACTAGTGCAATTATATTAGTTTTATTCATTTTAGTACATTTAGTTTTTTCATTGATTGGGAAGTTGATTTTAGTCACCATATAGCAATAAGAACTTCATAAAGTAGACTAAACATCATCAATCAGCTTCTTTAAATAATAATAAAAGACCGAAGAGATGTCGCAGGCTGTGAAATGAGATGATTTCATATGTATAACTGGCTTCTTTTTTAATACAGACTTTGAAATTCTACTCCAATCTCTAGCGTTGTCTGAACTACAAAGCTGCCGATCCATATTTTTTGTATTGACAATGGACTACAACGGATCTACAGCTGAACGGACTGACTAAGCATCTTGCAGCTCCTTGTTTTGTGTTCCCTTAAACCACGGCTTGTTTTTCATCAACTGTAGAGACATGAAATGGTTGAGACATGAATGGCTTTGAGAGACTGTATGTTTAAAAACTCAATCGGCTGAAGAGGTCGAGCTGGTTTCTCGTTCCCTAAGTTGTACCCAGGCACCGAGACACACTGTCTCAATGTTATCTACTCTTACTGTTTGTCTTTCCTGGCAGTCTGCTTCTCCCCGATTTCAGTGGAAAAACATTCCTACCTTTTAGTATGCATGTGTATTTGTGTGTACGTGTGTTGGTTGTGTCAGTTATGATGGTACAAGGAATCTGCCCTGCACAACAGCGCTGGCTGACAGGAAGCACATTCCGCTTCTTCCTGTTTGTGGCCCTCTCGCACTTCCTGCTAAGTGTCTGATAACTTACAAAACCACTTAATCACCCTTTTGGCCAGCCGATTAAAATAATTTAGCCGTGACATCATGATCATGGATTTTTTGTGTTTACGCTTGTACGTTTCATAATGGACACGAGGGAGGAGATGATGATCATTTTTATCTCAGTTCAGGTATTATTGTATCAGGCTGATATAACTCAAAAGACTTGTCTCTTCTTGCTTATTTCCGGCCACAATTCAATGTATTTATTTCTTCTTCTTCTTCTTGTGCATTTTACCTCCAGCGCAATTATTAGTACTTTGTTTTCCAACCAAATTCCTGCCAAACCATTTCCAAGTACTCTTCTATCTCAACAGTATATACATATTATCATTGGGACCTAGTTAGACACTCAGTGTTTGATAACTTATATAGTGCCTGTCAGGGACACACAACCATTTTCATTGAAAGTCTGAACTTCATGCACTGTGTAGTACCCTACTTACCTTGGTGCAATGTGTCCTTGGCATGACATTTAATCATTTAATTGTTCTTGAAGGCTGTCCCTGGGCCCATGTTTGTTAGGTAGCAATGTTAGCGTGGTCTGAATGATCAGACCACTAGAAAGGTGCTAAACAAGCGCAAGTCCATTGTAGCTCTTCATTACGTGTATATGTTGTCACTATTATTATTATAAACAGAAGTATGGTGCAAAATCATAAACCATGATTAATCATAGTTAATAACCCACCACATGTATCAATACATGCGTCAATGCATCCACTACCACTGTGAGGTTGCCACACAAGCAGGCATGAAAGGAATGGCTGAGTCACCGTCAGTCCCCAGTGTTGTTTGAGTTGCCACCGGGGGGGGCGGAGGGGATGTTGGAGGAGCTCCAGCGATTGTGAGGACCAGGCGCTGTGTGGCAGCCTAACTTCCCCGACTCAAGTGGCCAGAGAGATAAAGAGCGTGCCAGCTGGACCCCCAAGGTGAATATAATAATATAATACATTTGCCAATTATTGTCAATGGGGATTTTAGGCAACTTCGAAAAAATCAATGCATTGGTTTTCTTTGTCAGATATTTAGTCACATTATAACCTCGACCCTGCAAGCGTCCAATTTGAAGAGACAAAAGAGCGTTGTAGGGAAAGGGGGACACTTTTGCGCAACTTAAGTCTAGACAGGAAGATATGTGAGGAGGTGGGAGGAGAAGGGAAGTGCTCATTATGAGTGAGATTAAAGTTATCTTCATTTATCTATGAGTCTGTAGACCCCATCATGGTCCACTCCCTTTCCCACAGGAATAAACACAGGAAGATGCTGCTAATTATTGTTTGTGATGCCGATCGTAATCCCATCGTAGACCCATCGAAAATCATCACGGATTGGATTCACCATATGTGACCATTGGCCAATCGGGACTGGCGGTGCATAAATTCTGCTGACTGGTTTGTGAGTAAGCGTGGGATAGTGCGTGAAATGAGTGCCAGGGGTTTTAGACCAATGTCAAAGTAGTGAATAGTGTTGATTTTAAGCCATAGAGATGACGTGTTGGTTGGTTAACTGCTTGTTCACAACAAAATATTCTAACACCGGATGGATTGCCATGAAATATTATACAGACATTTGTGATGCCCAGATGATACGTTTCACTGACTTAAAATGAAATATTACAGTACATATACAGCATAAAGCTAACGATATGGACATTCTTTTCCCCTCAGAATGAATTGAAATCATTTTTGTGCACCTCAGATTTTATCATCATCAGGTCCATTTCCGTATTTGCCCAATATTTTTGTTTATGACCCAGTACCTGCAAAACCTCTAACATTCTAATCAGTCTTAGTTTTGTGGTTACTGCTGATTATCAAATCTTAGCATGTCGACTGGCTTTACTACTCTGGGGGAAATTGACTGTGAGTCACTTTAAAAATGCATCATCTTATTCATCAACTTGTCTGATCCAATGTCTCAAAGTAGATTAACGCAGGTTAACATTCACAGTGAGGAAGCAGTAGTTTATACATGAGATGACGTCCTGTCTCACCTCTAGAAACAACATTTGAATCACAGGTTGCACAGAAGCTGAAGAGCTGAACTGGTCGGTACCTGCGGTTGAAGCAAGTTCTTTTTTCAGTGCAACAAACCTTTGACAAAAATAGGAAGTAGTCAGTATTTGAGATGTGGTTTCCTCTTGGCACCAACCCCATCCTGACGTCTGCGGCGTATGCCCACTCTGAAAACGGATCATATTATTATTATCAGCAGCTTATGTGGGGAAATCTTTGCATGCCCTTAAATGACTACATGGCCATTTTAGAGAGATGTGCTTGTGGTGTTTGTGAGGGAGGTTGAATGATGGTGTTTGTAGCGTGGAAGAGAGGAGGTGGTTGTCTGCTACCGAGCCATTTAATCAGGAGGAAGATCACATGCGTGTGTTTATCATCCCGTCGTCATTAACCGAGTCTGTGAGACAGACCTGCAAAACACACCCTAGCTTATTTCCACCTCCAAGTGCTCTGATCTTTGTACTGCCGTAATATCATTTTGTGGTATTTCTACTTTACTTGAGTAGTGATCATTTGTTTCTTCTCTACTGTTCTATCACTTTTTACTTCTGACTTGTAAACTAATTGTGCATTTTTATAATCTCGCTTGTTCCTCTCTCAACATCAACCTCTCATCTTCTCTCTTACATCTCTCGAGATCACCTATCCCTCCCTGGTCTAAATACTTCGCAGCCCACTCAGCCTAAACAGCTTCAAACACTTTAACTTTAAGTCATTTCACCTTCTCTGGCTTCCCTCCTTTGTGCTTTTTGCCTTCATCAAATCAGCATTGTAGCAGTGGAGCCGGGCTGAACTGATTGCTCATAATTTCACTTCGACACGCACTCACGTCCAGCCCCAGTGACGCGCCCCTCTACACCGAAGTCTCAATCTCTGCCTTATGTTTTCCCTCCCTTCCTCTCCTCCTCTTTTTCTTTTATTCTTCCCCCCAAGAGACATGATTTACTTGTGTCAGGGACAAGGACATCTGC